AAATATAGCAGAAGTTGCCTGATTTTGTTCTCAGGAGAGGAATTTGAGAGTGTTACCCAGAAAAAGACAGTAAAAGTACTTTCAGTATTTTCTGGCACATGTAGATTAGACATACACATTTATGTGTGTAATTAACTAGCTCTCTAATCTAAAAAATAATATACTATTTTCAGCTTTATTCAATTACACCCCTTCTTGTTCCTAACTGTTCTGTTTTACACAGTTTTATTATTTTCCATTCAGTTCTCCCCCCCCTCTGTAGTGTTTACAGTTGATATCGCTTTGCTCTGCTGTTAATGTAGTTATCGCTGCATGCTGGTAATCACATGGGTGTGGTCCTTGATAACGAACACTTCCATTCAGCTACACAACTTGCACCCTAATATAACACACACTTATACGGACGAAACCCTTTATAGCTACGAAGTGAACCAGCCGTAATAACCTTACCGGAGTCTGCGGAGACGAAAGCCTGGAACACGCAGAGCACACCGGCCACAATCATGGGGAACACAGGCGGCCACATCTCCGTCGGTTAAACTGTCAACAACAAGATGGAAACTAAACTGCTTCTGTTGTGAGCCGAAATAAGCATGTCAAATTAAGTCATATTAAGAAATACACATTACAAGCAGAGATTTCCCGATTAAATCCAAGTGAGTGATAAATTGTGGGAGAGGCTGAAAGTGAAAGTTGTGACACAACAGTCTCCGCCTCCAACGGGACAACATAATTGTGGTCTTTATTCGAATTTAAATGGTTTCATAATCACTATATATGCGTTACAGGCCATTGCGATAACTTATATAGTTATTTACTGTTTTAAAAGTATTAAAAAATACTCCCAAAATTACAAAACCAAAAATAGTCTAGTGCCATCTAGTGGCCTGATGTTGTTACTGTAGCCAGAACAACTACAGGCTATTTTGCAGGTACATTTTGGGAGTTTGCTAAATGTATTGAGCAAGAATTCTCCACTTCAGAAGCACTTTTATCATTATATTAAAAATGATGTTTTTTCATATATCAATACATTTTTATTACATAACATTGCATTAAGCTAACATAGTGGAAACAGGCAAAGTAATAGCAAAATTAACTTGAGTTACATTTAGTTACAGGTTTTCTGGAGCTGCACGATGACCATTCACAAAAATTCTATCTAAATGTACACTACATTCCTTTTTTAAGTGTTGAAAATAAAGCTCAGAATGCATGTAGTAACACCAAAGTGACAGGATTCATTCGTCCTGCAGCTCCTCCATGTTTATCGTCTCCAGCTGCAGCCACAATCCTCCCTCTGCACGTAGCACGAGTTGGGGGAGACGGCGGACTCCCCCTGAACTGCTCCCCATTTCAGGGTCAGATCCCGGGGTCAGACGAAACTTGAGCAGGGTCAACGCCACGACGACTCGCAGCTCTGCCAGGGCGAATTTCTGACCAATGCAGTTCCTGTGAACACATACAGTACAGACTCTTAAACAGCTATAATCGTTTAGATCTTATTTACCTTGCAGCATTGAGGACGCAGTACCTGGGGCCAGAGGAGAAGGGGATGAAAGCGTGAGAAGACCGGCCCTCTGTGTTGGCAGGCTCAAAACGCAGAGGATCAAACTCCTATGAAAGAATATAACACAGGTCAGAGAGGACAAAGTTAAACCAAAGTGAAAGGTTCGGGTTATTTCTTACGTGTGGGTTTGTCCAGACAGCAGGGTTGTGGTGCGTCCCGTAAATACTGACCAGAGAGATGGCACCTTGGGGAGACCAACACAAAGAAACAAATACTTTAAGAACACGTGGTAATTTTCTGTCTCTTTCTGTGTGACTTTGTGGTGTTTTTGCCCCTAAAAGAAGCTTATTGTACTTTAAATCTAAATAAAAAGCTCTTTCTCTCACCCTTGGGTACGGTGCAGTTGCCGGGCAGGTCCATGTCCTTGGTGTACTTCCTGGTTACAGCCAGCACAGGAGAGTGCAGCCGCAGAGACTCTCGGATGCACATGGTGGTGAAGGGGAGGTTGGCCAGATCCTCCCTTTAGATAAAGACATCCACATTTAAATATACTGATTCCTTCCTTAATCTAACACACTTTCAACTGCATTTCCATCTCCTATTAAGCATTTCTGTGTTTTTCTGACCACTGTATTGCATGTGTTTCTCGTCCTTGCATCAGATCCATCACTTCCTGCCTGCAGTTCTCCTGATGGTCTTCGTGGCGCGCTAAATTATACAGCGTCCAGCTAATCGCACTGGCTGTTGTGTCGTGACCTGTGGAAACAGAAGGACACTTTTCAATCCACTTTTAAAGTCTCAAAGAAATCGATTGTATGATAAGAACATTAAAGTGAATGTACTTGTGTTACTAATTAAATAAAGTTGCTTCTCACCTGCAAACATGAAGGTGTTTGCATCCGCCTGAATCTCCTTATCTGTGAGGCCTCGTCCGTGCTCATCCTGTGGATAGACAGAATTGTTTGTAAGGAATCACAGACCAATAACTTAGAATTATACAGTTTATATATTTAATATTTGATCTGATTCTTCTCTCCTACCTTTGACAGCAGTATGATGTCCACAAAATCTTTCTTCTTCTGTGGTGCTGCGGTGAAATCTGCTCCTGTCTTCTTCTGCTGGCTGATCAGGGCTCGACGCTTCTGAACCACCTCCATGGTAAACCTGTTCAGATGTATAAAAAACAACAAAACGATTAGTGTTGGTTTTGAACACATGAAGGTCATGAGGTCACACCCGTGCAGCTGCTGTACCTGTGCACGATGCTTAAGGCCTTTTTGAATTCTTTCCCCTGCTGAGTCTTCCAGTAAATAAAATCCCAGTGGTGCCAAATCTTTGTTCGACGATCTATGATCAGGTCACTCAGCTTCACTATGGCTGTCACGTACTCAGAGGAAGACCTAGTGAAACATATACAATTCAAAGAGAAGAACTATGGAAGAAGATTATACTTGTGAACAAAAAGAGTGTGTCCTCACCGCTGACAGTTGCTGTTGTAACTGAAGGCACATTTCAGTAAACTGTCGAGTGTCATCAGAGTGACGTGGTCAAACAATTCTACATGACTCGTGCCTTCTGCCAACAGTCTGTGCCACTTATCCTGAAAGACAGATTCTTTTGATTGTTAGATCAGATTCTACTTTATTTGTTTACTTTTTTAATTGATCTATTATACTTGTATTTCTGTATGTTTATTTATATTTGTATTCATTTATTTGTATTATTCATTTATTGGGATATGGATTTTTTTGTTACAGCAGTATGTAAAAAGACATTCCACACAAATACAAATAAATAAATGTGCTTAAATTAAAAAAGTAAATTATTAATTTATTTGAAATGAAATGTAGGTATTTTGTTTAAAAAGGAGTGGGAAGAAATTAATACTACTTATTGTTTCTATAAGTAGCAGGCAGATACTAAAGTGTTTATACAGCATGTGTGTGTGCATGCAGTGCTGTGTCTTACGTGCATGGTGTTGGTGGAGGTGTTAAACTTGTTGACGTAATTCTTCAGGATATCAAAATGAAAAGCTGGGGTCAGCAGCCGTCGCCTGCGAGACCACTCCTCTCCGTTTATCAGCAACAGACTCTGTCCTGGGGTGTGAAGGGGAAATGTTCGGAGGTGAGGATGAGAGTAAATAACACATACACAGTCAAGTGGATCAGTGTCGTCTCACTTTGATATAATTAAATATAAAAATAGAAGGCACTAGATAAATTAGATGTACAGGTACATTTAAAGATTGTGTTTAGGTGATCAATTGATCCACTAAAGTGAAGCACAATAACAGATTAAAATCTTGTTTTTGTTATTTTTGAGATCAGAATCTTCTTTGTATGGGAAGGTAGATGGAGACAGTTAGATGAGGGAACCTGAAAAACTTGTAGTACTTTACCGTATACTCAATATCTATAAACACAGGAAGTGTTATCAGCTCATTTAAAGTATTTTGATATCAGAGAGCCGTTTGACTCACCAAGCCACGGACGCAGATGTCCATAGAATAGCTCGTCTTTCACTGTGATGCTGGCTGGATGTAATGGAAAGAGAAAAGAAGATTAAAGAGGAAATATTCTGCTAATTCTCAAGTTCATATTTGTATTTTGTGCCTCCACTGCGACTGTTTCCATGCTTTAATGTTCAAAAAGCTCTTTATTGTTCTCATACTGCCTTTGCTGCAGCACCTCTGTTCACCCTCTGTCTGAAACCAGAGCCCAGTCTGCTCTGATTGGTTAGCTGGCCAACACTTCTTCCAGTGTGAAAATGTTTCCAGTAATTATACAGTACCAGGTGCCATTAGCAGAGGTTTGATGTAGTCCGGGTGGAAGAGTCTGACCAGGTGATAGAAAGGGCCGATGAACCAGCTACAGGAGTGTGTGTACATCTGCACCAAGTCATCCACCTGCAGGAGGCCTTCCTCTGTGCTCTGCATCTGAAGCACACACAATAACACTTTAAACAAACATTATAATGCACCATAAGTACAAAAAATCAGTAAACATCACCCTGTTAACACACCAGTGTATCCACGGAAATGCCCCCCCCTACCTCAAGGAATTGATTGAACCACAAACCGCCACCCGCAGCCTCCGCTCGGGAAATACTAACAAGCTGAAGGAACGGCACACCAACCTCCGCACTATGGGAGATCGAGCTTTCTGTGCAGCTGCCCCCCGGCTGTGGAACTCACTCCCAGACCATCTCAGAGCTCCTCAACCTGTGAACACTTTTAAGAGAGCACTAAAAACCTACCATTTTAACAAAGCATTTGGTTAGCTTTTTAAGCCGGTTTTAATAACCCTGCCTCTCCTTTTTAAAACGTGTTTTTAAACTTGTTTTTTAACCTGTTTATACATTTTGACTCTTGCAAATGGTTTTCTTTATCTTTTTTTATTATGTACTGTAGCACTTTGAGGTTTGTTTCAAATGTAAAGTGCAATACAAATAAAATGTATTATTATTATTATTATTAAGTATAGATTTTAAAATGAAAACCTCAGAGTTTAATGGTCGGTTTGCACACTTAACTGAATTCTCCCCCCACAGAGATTTGTAATAAAATATGTCGCAACATCCTGTATCATGCTGAGAAATTTACATTTCCTTATCTTGTTGTACGATTGCCAAGAATTAGAATAATGACACAACGTTTAACATGTCACTCCCACTAGAGGCACAAAATTGAACCTGAGAATGAGCATATATGTCCTATAAGTAAAGGATGTGAACACTTCTTCCACCATTGTTCTACCTGCGTTTTTACAGTTTGAATCTTACCTCGCCCAGGTGGCCCAACAGCCAGCATGTGGCTTGCTGAAGCAGGAGAGTCTGTGTGTGAACCAGGCGTGACACACCAACAGCTTCACGGTCCAAACTGAGACCACAGCTCCCAGTCCGGCACCGACCAGAACCATCAGCTGCCAGAGGCCCGTCCAGCTGAGGACCTGAGAGAGGACACCCCGGAGGAGAGACATCCTGAAAGAGAAAGTGAAGAGTTTCCAGAGGTTGTCTTACACTTGCCCTGCTCTGACAGTGACTGTGTCCACTAGGAGAAGTTACTAATGTTGAAATATGCAAACACTGTTCCACCCAGGAAGTGCTGTAACCATAATGTCAGATACCACTTCCTTTTTCTGTTACCATCTAACTTATTTTGTTTAATTTGCAGCACAGGTTTCAACACATAGGCTAAGTGGCGGGACATCTCTAAGCAGGTTGACCAATCACACCAAAGCCGGCCAGCTAACCTGGTTTCAGACAGAGGGTGAAAAGAGGTGCTGCAGCACAGGCAGTATGAGAAAAAATGAAGAGCTTTTTGAACATTAAAGCATGGAGACATGTCACAGTAGAGACACTACATACTGACCTAACCTGTCCAGAATGCACAAGTTTGGGTCAGTGTGCTATGCCTATAAGCAAAACAAAAATAATCTGGAGTCAAGGTGTGAGGAGGGAATTTTTGTTGGATATGACAAATAGTCCAGCCTACATGGTCTATTTCCCTCACAGTGGAAAAGTGCAAAAATCTAGACTTGTGAAGTTTGTGACCAAGACCAATTCAGAAAGAGAAACAGAAACCGTCTCTGATGATGACTTTGAGGTACAGAGCAAATCTGGCAAAATCATGCGTGATACTAACGTTAGTCCAGTATCTATACCTGTGGTAACAGAGACAGAAGACCACAAGAGTGAGCTTGGGTGTTATCTTTCAAGAAGCCAGCTTACTTATGTGGCAGTGTATGTGGTAAGGAAAGTGAGGATCAGCTACTGACAAATATTGACTATTGTTACAGATGAATGTGCAATATCCCTTTAACATTTAGGGAAGCTGTAACTTCATCTGAGTCAAAACAATGGGTTATTGCAATGGATGAGGAAATGCAATCACTAAAAGAAAATGACACATTTATCCTGACCAACTTACCTCAAGGTGAGAAAGCAGTGGGGGGTAAATGGGTGTATGATATCAAAACCAATGTTGATGGGTCCGAAAGATACAAGGCACGATATGTAGCCAAGGGATACAGTCAGAAGAGGGGTGAAAACTATGATGAGACATTTTCACCTACCGCTAACCTCACCAGTATCAGAGTGTTAAAGCAGCACAGGAAAATCAGATTTTACACCAAATGGATGACTGCTTACCCACATGCACCAATAGACTGTGAGATAGACATGGAACAGCCAGAAGGTTTTGAGGTCAAATCCAGTAAAGGTGAAAAGTTGGTGTACAAGCTAGAAAAGTCACTATATGAGCTTAAACAGTCAGGCAGAGATTGGAACAAAATGCTGCATGAGTATCTGAGTGAAAATGAGTTCCGACAGAACCCTGCTGACCATTGTGTTTACACAAAAGAAAATGAAAACTGAAAAGTGATAATGATAATATGGGTTGATGACATAATCATTGCAGCTAGTTATAACAATGCATTGACAGTTGTTAAAGAGATGCTCACAGCTAAATTCAGGATGAAAGACTTGGGGAAACTAAAACATTTCCTTGGCATTGATTTTGATCAAATCTGATTTATTGTCCAACAGACCAGATGGTGGCAGATGTTATGACAAAACCTACACCAAAGTACTTGAAAGGTTTAACATGCAGGATTGTAAGGCAAGAGCGACACCTTGTGAGCAAAAACTGAACTACTTAGATGATGCTGTATCGATGTTTGGGATAATTACTCGGATGTTTCCAAGTTGTTTTCCAAAAAGAGCTTTTTGAACATTTAAGCGCGAAACATGTCACAGTAGAGGCACAAAATACTTTTATGAACATGAAAATAAACACAATATGTCCTCTTTCAAATTCTAACTTATAATTAATAATTAGATGGAGGTAGAACCCAAATACAGGTTTTAACCTAGCCACAAAATACACAAGATAAACCAAACAAACAAAAACAATCCATATGCAACCTGCCATTTAACCAGAATTAAAAAGTTCACTGAAAAGAGTTACTCACAAACCCCTATTAAATCAAGAGAACCAAATCATAATCTTGTCTACACATTAAGATACGAATAAAACACAGATATCCTTATTACTTTCCAAATAACTAATTATGTTGGTGACATTAAATCATTAAACTAATCTTCATTTGAGAGTTCGGTTTTAGGAGGAGCTCCTGAACGCCACACTAATTGGAACAGGTGGTCACCGAGCCGCGCGCTAACGCAGCTCGTGGGTTGGGCTCAGAGACCAAACATTTCAGTGATTTCTGCATTTTCTGGTAACGTCTAATAACGATATAACATTACTTTGTGTAGCTAAAGACGGGTATTCAATGTAAATAAGATTGGATATATCGTCAAAGGCTAAAGGCTAAAGGCTAATAACCAGTTAGCCTGTGGTAGTTTCCCTTGTTTACCTTACCCTTCATTCTGGTTAATTTTTGTTACGATTAAACATCGGTTAAAGGTAAAATATACTACATGTTTTTTGTTGATACTATAAAGTAGACAAAATTGGTGAAATCAAATTTTTGATAGTTAAACAATGTTCGAAAAGTGTAACAATCTATTTTTCGACCATTGTTGTGTAGCCAGTTGATATAGCAACTTAGATTGTTTTGTTTTGGACAATTTCTATATGATCAGTAATTGACATGCTCAGAAGTAAATTACAATAAAGTGTGTTTGACAAAATCTCTATCCATAAATCTCAGGGATATTTAAGTTTATTTCAAGTTGAGTTATTTTAGTATTGCTGAAGAAATAAACCTCTTATTGTTCTTAAAAGCTGTAATAGTACTACAGTTAAATTCTTCATAATTGAAAAACACTTCATGAATTAACCTACGTTTGGTAATATTTCAATCGCTCTTGTAAAAACTAGCCAACCATTTAACAATACTGACATTTACATGATTAATATCCTTATGAGCTGTGTTTTTAAACTAATATGTATTTTCTCCTTTATTTTCCTCTGTTTTCAGGTGTTCAGCTTGAGATGAATGAAATTGCAGAGGACAGATCTCTCCTTACTTCCTCCTCCTCTCTGACATCTCTCAGCTCCAAACAAACATGGCTGCCATCTGAATCCCTTCTTTCCTGGATGAACAACCGCCAAATGGAGCAGGATTCCCGGCACCAGTACGTGGAGACGCAGTCGAGTCCTGCGCCTCCTTTCTTCGAGGAACTCTTCTGCACCTCCAGCTCTCTGGCCCCTCTGGCCGGCGCCCTCCTGGCCTCCAAAGGGCCGCAGAGCGATGTGGTGAAGAGAGGATACCTGGGGAAGCTGGAGCTCAAACACAGGAGGTATTTTGTCCTGAGAGCAGGAAGCCACATTGGGCCGAGCCGCCTCGAGTGGTACCAGAGCCAGGAGAAGTTCACAGCAGTGGAGAAGACTGCTGGAAGTCTGTTCGGCTCTAGCAAACAAGGGTAAGCAAAAGTAACTTCAAGAACAAAAATAAGAGCAAAACAAGCATGCTGCTTCAGTATACTATAAGGAAGGTAATCACTCGAAAAACCCTTATGCATACAGAAAAAAGACACACAATTACACTCTGGAAATGCACTGCACCCATTCATCCTTCATTTACTTGAGTAACAGTTTAAATGCAGGACTTTTAGTATTCCTACACTCTGGTACTTCTACTTTTACTGAAGTACAAGATCCGAGTACTTCTCCCACCTCTGCACACATCCTATGAATTCCTATTTCCCAGGGTGATCTACTTGAGGTGCTGTGTCGGTGTGAGCCGCAGTGGCAGTTCCGGGAAAGGCCTCACGGTGGCGCTGTGCGCTAAAAGCCAAACCGTGGTGCTTGTGGTGGAGGAGCAGGGGGAGCAGGAGGAGTGGTACCTGGCCATCAAGAAACTGATGGAGGAGGAGCGTAAGGATGAAGAACACGGGGAAGGCTTTGATGAAGACGATGATGGGTACTGCACTCTGCCCCCTGCTGCTTTCTTCAAAGAGGTCTTCAATGTTTTAAAACATTATTATTACCCTAAGGTGTGTTATCTTCCTGTTTGCAGTAGAGCAATATTAATAAAAAGAATCTCTGGATCTTCCTTTACTTCCATCAAAGGTTTGGCCCGTCGCGGTGAAGCCCCGGGGTTTGGGTTGTACCAAGTCCCTGGCAGGGGAGAGTTGCCTCTGCCTCACAGCTTCGTCGCTCATCCTGGCCAGAGCGGCTGCAGGCAGCGACTTGCCGTCTGTCACTATTCCTCTGCTGAGTGTTCGCCGCTTTGGCCACTTGGACGGTGCCTTCTTCCTGGAGCTGGGCAGGTCGGCGCCCAACGGGCCTGGAGAGATCTGGATGGAAGCAAGAGAGCAAGGTAATTAAGGAATAAAAGAAACCTTAATGGAGACCCGTAGGGAAATTCAGTCGTTTGAGCAGCAGCAACAATAAGCGAGGATAATTCGACTGACAAATACATAAAGGAAGTTACAGTATAGAATATAATCGATAAAAAGAACCTGTTGATGTGTGTTCTGTGCAGGGAGCCTAGCAGTAGCCCAGCACATCCACGAGGTGGTCCGAGAGACAGTCAGAGCGCTGCGAGCTCTGCCTGACTTCAGCCGCTCTCCCACCTCCAACCACCAGCTTCAAACCCTTCTGGTCTCCAAAGGCTGCCGACCCAAGCACCGAGACAAGCCAGCGGGTCTGAGACCACTCGCTTCACGTGCCAGAAACCCTGAAAGCCCGTGTAAATGTCCCCACGAAACAGACCCTCATCAGAGCTCCGAGTCGAGAACTGGCGGCTACATGGAGATGAAGATGGACCAACATCTCCCGCTGAGCAAAGAGAGGGAGAGAGTCAGCCAAACGCCTCCTATGTTGACAGAGGAGGAGGACTGGGAGTCGGGTCAGCAGGGGCTGGGCTACATGGTGATGTCTCCTCAGTTGAGCCACAGTTTGTCTGCGCTGCCTCAGAACGACTACGTGACGATGGCGAGCCCACAGAAACCCACAAGGCCATCTTCCTCTTCATCCTCCTCTCCTCTCCAGACATCCTTCAACAGGTTAGTTTGAGTAGGTGACAAATTATGTTTTGTGTGCAAACTCAACACTTCCTCTGTGTTTAGGTGTTGGATAAAGTCACTGAAAGAAGGCAGAAAATGAGCCTATGATGTCATCTTTAACTGTAACAAATTCTCTTTTGTAGCTCTACCTCTGAGAGCTCCTCTCCGCTGCATCATCAGACCCACTGGTTGCTGGCGACTTCTGTCCAACAGTCGGAAGCAGAAACCGGCCAATCAAAGAGGAGCATCAGCCATGCACAGGATGAGGAAATGGGGGGACAGTGGCAGCAGATCCGCCTCCCAGCACACACCAGCACCAGGAGGGATGATGGCTCTGATGTGATGACTCCACTTGTCTCAGGCGTAGTGAGTCCCAACTGTGGCAGACTCAAAGCTGCCACAGAACGATCCGTCCGAAGATGCCGCCTGTCTTTGTGTCTGCCGTCCTGCCTGCAAGCTGAGGACAGAAATAAATAACGAAAAATGTAAAACGGTACGAATTAAAATGTAAAGGTGTTTAAATGTATGAATATGTTAAATATATATATATATATGTACATTTGGAAGTTCAAGTCATGAATGCATACAGAAAGGTCAACTTGCACACTTGAATCAAGGCTTTAAACTCTGAATATGTGTTTGAGAAAAATAAAGTTGTCTTAGTGATAGTTATTGTCTGTTAATTGCACTTAGTTTTGTCTTCACTTCCTAGTTTCTTTGTCAATTATTTGTCTCTTTTGGTGTGGTTTTAGTCATGCCTTTTGGTTTCCACACCGGTTAATTTAAAGTGTTTTAAAAAAGTAGTCACAAGAATGATTTTGTATTTGTCTCTTTTTGGACAGCTTTCATACACAGCTCAGTTTGACACCACAGATGTTCTTACCTTTTAAAATTGTCATTAAACCTGACCTTGCACTTTTTTCTCAAATGTTCTACATAATAAACTGTCTTTTTCTGAAATACTATGAATTTGTCTTATACTCCATGTCATCCTGCTTCTCTTTTCTTCCCAAGATGAGTGCAGAGCAACATATTAGGTTACCAAATTAAACTAAATTCTCCCAGATCAAATGGCTCACAGGGATAAAACGCTGCCTAGAAGACTGGAGGTTCTGCGTTCAATGCTTATTGTTTACAGGGATTTTTCAGGTAAAATAATCAACTCAAATAAGCGGAGAGAAGAGTTTTCTTTTTCATGTATTTGCTTCTTCAGACAAACTAATAAACACAGCTAGCTCAGATGGACACTGCCTTGAAGACTGGATGTTGAGGGTTCAATTCTTATCATTTGCAGTCATCTTTATGGTCCAAATTGTCCAGAAAGACAACAGTTTCACATTAACATGTTTGATTCTTATAAGGAGCACAGATTTTAAACGTCCAACATTGAAATTTAAGAAAAAAATACTTATACATTTACAGTTACATCTCAATAAATTAGAATATCGTGGGAAATTATATATATTATTATTATTATATATACTATACTATGACTCTTTTTGCCACGGAATCCAGATGTCTTGACGTCAAAAATGTTAGTTGTTTAAATGCAGTGATATATAATACAATTATTCTAACTATACTCCAGTGTCCTGCCAGTGTTTAGTGTGTGTGTGACATTAGTCCAATGAATCACAATAAGGTTTATTAAAAAGTTGGTTTACACATAAACACGGTGATTAAATTGTAAAAAGGAACTAAGATGTAAGGATTAGAAAAAATGAATCGAACACACCCATACAAGAAATGTATAGCACACGTAATATGTGCAGCGTATTATAATTTAAAGTTAAATAAACATTACCCTTTATATTAACATACATTTTTAAAGGATATTTATGGATTTGCAATGGATAGCCCAACTTTGATATGCACAGTGCCCTCTGTGAACAAACTAAACATGATGATGGGACTCCATGACCCCATGACCTCATGACCCCGCCCCCTCTGTTGGTCAGAGACGCTTCTTAGGGTACAGTCAGCTAACCGCTCGGATGACACATGCGCAACAGCTCAGCAACCGCACGCGCCGACGAGATATACACAGAAGAGAGACTGGAGGGAATAAACAGCGATAACTGGAGTTTCCTGTGACTTAAAAGGTCAGTCAAAAGCTGAACTCACTCACAAACAAAGAAGCAAACAAACAAACAAAGAAGCAAACAAAAAATATGCAAACAAACACACACATGTGACCGCTGTGTCCTATTAGCTCATGCATTAGCATATGGGCTATGCTAATTGATAATATAGTTGGTACAGTCCTTCCGGTTGACAGGCTCTGATGTACAAACTTCAAACATGATTCTCCATTAGTTTTCTCTTTCTTTAACCTGCTTTTAGAGGATACAACTACAGCTTAATATATAACACACTTGATCATATATTAAGCTCTAATTGCATTTGTTGTGGCAGGTGCATTTACATTTTCTTTCATGCCTCACATTCAGAGTTGGAACAAGTACTTAAGTAAAAGTAGATGTACTGGTGTGTAGGAATTGTTTTTAAGTGTTGTAAAAGTCCTGCAATCAGAATGTTACTCAAGTAAAAATAAGTATCAGTTCAAAAGTTCAAACACCAAAAGTACTCGTTCTGCAGATTGACCCATTTCAGAATAATATGATATGTTTTGATTATTGATCATTAATGTGTTATCAAAGCTGGTAAAGGTGCAGCTAGTTTTAATGACCTTGTATGCTGCAGGCTTTTGAATTTAATCCAGGTGTAAATAAAGGTTATATATGGGTTGATCATATTTCACATCATTAATCCAAAAGGTATTAAATAAATATAGTGAAGCAAAACATTGAAATAAAGTAAAGTACAAGTCCCTCACAGTTGTACAGCACCAAATTCACATACACTCTTATCCAATACTACCACCAACACTTAATGTTAAATTAACGGCTGAATTATTGTATTTTAATAACTGTATCCAACATGTTGATGGCACTATGTCATTTTTCATTTTAATCGTGTACTATATTGTGACTTTTTTAATGGCTTTTTATATAAATCTGAAGACTCTCTTTATTTTGTGTTGCAGTGTTTGGAGGGTTGCAGGTGGACTGTTTACACAGCCGTGGGAACTAAGGAAGTCTTAAGGTGTGTGTCTTTTTTATTTTATTCCTGATTCATAATATCGATTATACTATTCTCCACTTTTTAGTGTTACCGGAAAGGATTTTGATCATATTCTTTTCTGTTTCTTTTTCAGAAGAGCTACAGCTGTCCTATGTTTGCTTTTTGGTGGGAGGATCATGGCTTCTTGAGTTCCGTTTTTCTGAAAAACGTAAGGTTCTTAAACACACTTAAAGGTGACCTATCATGCAAAATGCACTTTTGTACATCTTTTATACATGAATATGTGTCCCCGGTGTTCCAGGGAACTCACCAAGTGTCCGAAAACACAACCCTCTCTATTTTCTCCATTCCCAATCTCTTAAAGAGGGCTGCAACGGATCTGATACAGACTGATCAGATTTGGAACACTTTCTATGACGTCCACAGAAGTGGCGTACGCTATTGGGCCAAACTCCACCAATCAGATGGATGACGGATTGCCGTTGGAACAGCTGTGGAGGCTGGGCTGTAGTACATATGGCAGGCCTGGTAGGGATGGTGTGGGTTCGCACATGCAGCCGGGGGGGTGTGATGATGGAAGACTCTAGTGGGTTAAATTGAGCGAAATGAGATGCTCTAAAATGCATGATTGTTTGGTATTTGAAAAATAAAAAGTATAATATGCCTTCCTATATTAGTATGGTTCCTACGACTATATTATTCTAATATAGCATGATAAGTCCACTTTAAGGTTGTGAACACACACACACGCTGAGTGCGGTGTTGGATATTTTGTGGTGTCATAAACTATGCTATAACTTTTTTTCCTGGTATTTTCGAACATACTTATACCAGCGGGCGGGCAACTTTTGGCTCGGTGTCGCTGATGGTAGGTGTGGGTGGGTGTTGTGGGGGGCGTGACCGCAGGCGTTACGCTGCCAGGCTTTCCGCCCCGGCACGCAGATGAGTCATACGTCGGGGAGGAGCACGTGGGCGGGTTGTGG